CCCCATAGTCCGTTTGCTTGCCTGATGGCTTCTGAGCTGCCGTCATCTGCTTGGGTTCAGCAGAGTTCCTCATTGTCGCACAGGGCAGCTGGAGGAGCTGGGGACCTGGGCGAGGCCAGCCAGGAGAAGCAGCGTCCTGGAGCCCCAGGCTCCAGAGCTGACGCAGCAGTCTGGCAGCAGCCAGCGGACAGGCAGCGTTCAGCTCAGGTTCTGCTCCTTCAGGCTCCTTTGCAGGCAACCTCTCCCAGGGCTCCCCACACATCCGCCCTTGGTGGGGCCAGCTGGACCGGGCCTCCACGGGTGTCCTGCGCCAGCTTGCTGCCTCTGCCTGCTGTGTTTGCCCATGCTGCACACCCCCCCTCTGCTCTTCCCCATGCAGCCAGCTTCATGTCTGCCTTCTAGGCCTAGCTTGGGTGTCTCCACAGGAAACACCGTGCCTGATAGTCCCCACCCCCGGGCTGTGCAGGTAACCTCTCACCCTCAGGGCTCCCATGCGAGGATTCAAGGAGTATTTCACTGAAAGCATGGAGCGTGGTGCCTGGCTCAGAGCATCAGTTCAACAAGCATATATGAAGGGTCTGCCTTGTGCTGGTTGGCGAGGGGTTGTAAACATGAAAGAACCATAGCTCTGGCCCTCTGGATGTGGCGACTGACAAACTGGACACTCCTCCTTACATGTACTGTGGTGTGAGACAAGATGGCAGCAAGAACAGGGTGGGCTTGAAGAAGAGGGACGGCAAAACCACTTGAGGGTTTGGAGTGGGCTTCCTGGAGGAGGTGACCCCTAGGATCCGCTATGGAGTTGGCCAGATTCGGAGAACAGAGGTGGGGTGAGGGTAGAGTTGCAAGCATGGGTGAGAAACATCCTGTGGGAGTAGGGGTAGCTCTGAGCGGTTCAGGACAATGAGAACTGAGTTGGGAGGGCGGAGGGGTGGGGGCAGAAGACAGGCAGAAGGAGCTGGGGAAACGTGTGACCCCATGGCGTCTATGCATCAGAACCTCCCCTGAATGTCTAGAATCTGCAGAAGCCCACATGGATTGACTCTGCATCCTGGTGACCGAGGAAGGCGCAAACAGCGCAGGGTAATCCCAGCAGCGGGTGGACGAGGCTGACAGGCCCAGATGCCAGAGGAAGCTGCAGATCAAGTCTTCCTGGATGGATCATCTGATTATCACTCAATTGTTATCTATGGTTTTCTTGCTTTCTTTTTATTTATTTATTTTTTTAGAGAGGGGAAAGGGGGTAGAAAGAGAGGGAGAGAAACATCATTGTGTGATTGCTTCTCAAGCATCCCCTACTGGGGACATGGCCTGCAACCCAGGCATGCAGCATGACTGGGAATCGAACTGGCGATGCTTTGGTTTGCAGGCTGGGTGCTCAATCCACCGAGCCACACCAGCCAGGACTATCTACGGCTTTCAAATCACTGCTTCATTGGATCATGGGTGGGTCATTTGTATCCAACTACGACAATTCCTGTCTTAGTATGTTGGGCTGCTTAATAAAATACCATAAACTGGCTGGCATATAAACATCAGAAATTTATTTCTCTCAGTTCTGGAGGCTGAGAAGTTAAGATCAAAGCACCAGCAGATTCGGTGACTGGTGAGAAGGCTTCTTTTTGCTGTGGCCTCACATGGTGGAAGAGCTCTCTAAGGTCTCTTTTATAAGGGCACTAATCCCATTCATGAGCATGCCACCCTCATGACCTAATCAGCTCCTAAGGGCCCCATCACACTGAGGATTAGGATTTTAACATGTGAATTGGGGGGGACACATTCAGTCTATAGCAGTACCCAAGTGGCAACCCCAACAGTCTCACCTTGTGTGCTCACAGATAAACCAGCAGACTGTGGGGACTCTGGGACACGCAGGGACCATGCTCCTCTGCCCTGTGTCACTCATATTATTGTGTCTCCTTAGCTTTACTTCTCCCTGGTCCAGACTCAAAGAGAATGGTCCAGGGCATGGTCCAGGGGCCAGAATCTGGTACGTGTCATAAAAGAGTAGAGTCAAGGACTGAGGGGTGCCCCACAGCCCAAAGAGAGGAGTCATTAAGACACTGCTTTAGGACATCTACTTTTCTTCTTTCCCTTGTTCTGGAACAAATTCCCCCATAGTACATTAACACACCTGTGCAGTGTGTTAGCAGTTCGGCCCCTTTCAGCTGCTGGGAAGAAAATGGTTCTAGGATGAACCAAAGGGCTAATTTTGAGTTGGTAAACAGCCAACTCCACAGCTCTGTGATTGTTATCTTAACACAAGTATATGTAGACATTATAGAGATAGCATATTTCTATACATATAGGACATAGGTAACAAGCCTACTGTAAATATATATACCTATGTATATGCATGGATATATACAGTAATATAGACAGCTACAGAAAAAACAAGTGAAGATACTCCATGCCCCATTCACCCATTCCCCAGAGGAATCCACTGCTGCATTGTGGTGGTTGTCTTTGTAGACATTTTTCTGTGCATTTGCATAATAAAAAAATGCCTGTGTATTCATACATTTATAGCCTGATTTTTCTTTTCACAAAGCGGATTGTGTAAATATCCCATGAGTTGGTTTATCTGCTTCATTTTTCTTTAATTCTTTTCCATTCTTTTTCACTGTGGCAGAATATTCCACACTGTCCATGTAACTTTCTGTTCTGCTGGTGAGAGACATGTAGGTTATTTCCCTTTTTTGTTATTATAAACAGCACTGCAGTGAATCTCCTTGGCCATACATCTTTGTGATGGGCATTCATATCTTTGTGGAATAGATTCCAAGATGTAGAGTAATGGGACCAGGAATAAAGTTCATATAACATTTTGGTGGCTACAGCCAAATAAATACTCCTTCCAAAGGTGGCTCAGGTTGCCACTCACCCTCGGTGTACGGAAGTGTAGGTTTCACACCGTGCCCATGCCGGTGATATTTTCAATACATGATTTTGTAGTCTGATGGGGAGGGTCGTATTCTACTGTTGTTTTATTTAGTATTTCTTTAATTGTAAATAATGTTCAATGTCTTCTCATATGTGTATTGGCATTGGTATTTATTTTCCTGTAATTAGCCTGTTCATATCCTTTCTGATTTTTATATTTTAGGAGCTTGTATGCACTTTGGATATTAACAATTAGTCTGTTATATATGTTGTAAGTACTTTCCTCTCAGTGGACTGCTTGTCTTTTACCCTTGTTATTAACATCCGTTTGCCAAAGGGAAGTTTCATATTTAGAAGAATTTGTAGAAGAAACTAAGGAATTTATATAGATTTAGACTGGTGAGTGGGCCGTGTTTTAGCTGTTCAAATGTGGGCATCTATAATGTATTATAGTGGCTATTAAACTTTTTAGAAATGCAATGGTTGATGGGCACACCTATTTCTGTGTATTTCCTCAGTTGGTGGATGCTAAAAATACAACTATTATTGAGTAGGGAGTTCCAGAAAATCCATAATGCTACACATGGAAAGATTGAGGGCCACGACCCAGAAGAAGGACTTACGTCTGTTCAGAAATACCGTATTTTGTCATGTATAATGTATACCCACGTTTTTGGCCCAAACTTTTAGGATAAAACTCTTTCATTTCAATTTTTGAATTCAATTTTGTATTTATGTTTAGAAACAGAACCTATTATTGTATTCTAGGGTATTATTTTGCATACAGGTATTGTTATTGGTTTCTAGAGTTATACTTTTAACGCATAAGCATAAATAAAAGAATTTAAAACATTTATAGAGATATGGATTTAGTACTACCCATGTATAATGTGCATCCTTATTTTTCCATCAAAAATTTGGACCAGAAAGTGCACGTTATACACAGCATATTAATCAGGGCTCATTTGTTTGAAAGTAACTGACACCCACCTCAAACTAGCTTAAGCAAAAAGAGACTTTCTCAACTTATATCTAAGAAAGGTTCTGACTTCAACCCTATCTGGACCAGGGGCACAAAGGATGGACGTCCTCAGGTCTGCCTTCTCTCTCTCTCTCTCTCTCTCTCTCTTGCTCTCTCTCTATTGAACTCTCTTCATTTGTTGGCCTGCTTTGTCTCTACTCAGCATCATTCTCTTCTCCTGCGGACAAAGGCTTGCTGTGGAGGGACAGATGGCTGGGGCAGCCCCGAGTTTCCATCCTCAGAGACCAGTATCTAGAAGGAAAGGAGACCCTTTCCTAGTAGCAGCACAGCACCGCTCTCAAGGAAAAGGAGTCCAGCAGCCCCATCACTATCCTCATTGACGCCAGTCATATGTCCACTCCCAGGGGCCAGGGACATTATGATTGAACCACCTGAGGGGGAGGAGTGGTTCACCAACAGAAAGAGGGCAAACATGACAGACTGCAGAGCCCATGCATGGCATGCAGAAAACGGGGGGTGGGGGGCACCTGGCCTGGAAGCGGAGGAGTGAGCTTAAAATGGGGTTCCATCCACCACGTACACCTTGGGCAGCCGCCCCAGCCTCGCCCGGGTCTGTGGCTCCCTTCTCCTGAAGTGGTTTCATGAGGATCAGCAAGGAGACACCAGTGATCTGGCTCCGGGGGTCCACAAAGTACCCAGCAGGTGGTATTAAATGAGAAATGTCACACACCTGTGTCCCGCTCTTCGCAGACACTCAAAAGGTGATGGTTTTCTTCCTTAGAATTTACTTGAATTCAAAGAGTGTTAGGAAGGAGGTAATCCGTTTGCATGAAGTGAGTGTGTGAGTTCTTCCTTCACCACGCTGAGCGAGGCCCCTCTGCGGGGTGGCCCACCATTGCTGTGTCCTCATTAGTGAGGAGAGGGTCCTGTCATCAGGAAAGAGGCAAGGCACGGGGGGCGGGGGGCGTTGAGGAGCAGTTCTTGGAGGGAAGCTGACTTCTTGCTACACTAAAGTCTATGCTGAGGGAAAGAATAGTTACTCAAGGGGAAAACCCCGCCACACTCTATGGCCCTCCAGCTGGCCTGGTGCTCCCTGTGACTGTGTGTGTCATGACCTGCTTGGCTTTCCTTGCAGTCCACCTGATCCCGGTGTCAGCAGCTAAGAATGGCGTGAGTAGCAAGAGTCGAAAGAGAATCATGCCCGATCCCGTGACGGAGCCCCCAGGGACAGACCCGGTTTACGAGGCTCTCTTGTATTGCAACATTCCCAGTGTGGCCGAGCGCAGCATGGAAGGTAGGCCTGCCTGCGCTGCCCAACTTGGCACCTGGATGGACACCCCTCTGGGGACTGGTTCTTCTTCAAGCAGCACAGCCCGGTGGTGAGGAAGTCACCAGCCTGGGCGCCAGTCCTGCCACTAGGCTGTTCCCCTGGATGAGGTCCCCGGTCTTAGCCTCCTCACCTTCAGGGCATCACCCCCAGCTTTTCCAAGCAGGCTCTGCGGGGCTTACAACGTCCTGCTGATGTCTTACAGCAAAGGTGTGGGAAAATATAACTTCTATGTTGAATTTGGCTTTTCTGAGAGCGTATCAAAGGATGATATCGGATCTGTTTGTGCCCTGCCTTGTTCATGAAGGATTTAAAGCAGAAGCCCTTCTGTCCAGTGTGTCTGTGGGCCTCCCCCTAGTCTGGGAGCGTGAATGACACCATAGGAACATTCTTGCCCACATTTCACTGGCCTCCAGCCCCAGCCAAAGCCCCAGAGCCTCCCGGAGATTTCTGGGGGTCGGGGACATAACCAGCCCTCTCATGTTCCTCGGCCCTCCTTGTGAGTCTGCTCAGGGGCACCCCACCCCGACCCCAGCACGGCACCCTTCCACCACAGTCACCCCTCCTCACTCCTGTGAAATGAAATGGATTGACACGTCCTGCGTGATAACAAGACAGTGTGTCTGTCTGTCTCTCTTTCTATGTCTCTTGCAGGTCACGCTCCACATCATTTTAAGCTGGTCTCAGTACACGTGTTCATTCGACACGGGGACAGATACCCACTGTATGTCATTCCCAAGACGAAGCGACCAGAAATTGACTGCACTCTAGTGGCTAACAGGTACATTGCACTTTTTCTGAAAGTTCTTTTCAAGAATCTGCTCCGTCTGTCCTAATCACAGTGCTGACAGGAGAATGACAGGCTGGGGCGTGACCTGTCCTGGAGTGAGTCTGATCTTCAGAACAATCCTGCATGTTAGTGAGGTCCCAGAGTTGAGAAGACAGAGGCCCAGAGAGGTGAGGACACCTATGTGAGGCCACACAGCAGATAAAGCCCTGGCCAGCCTGAGGCCCCCTCTCCCACCCGCTGTTTTTCAGTTTGAGTGATGGCGGGAACATGGTGCAGTGAGCTCTGGGTTGGGGGTCCTCAGGCCCTGGTTCGGCTGCTGCATTCAGGGCAGCATGTGAGTCCCTTAGTTGCTCTGAGCCTCAGCCTTCTAGCTCTGAAACGGGGTGACAATGCAGACCGTGTAGGGTGGGGGTGAGGAATAAGTAAGGTGATTGAGGGGAATGCCCAGTCTCCTTTATTTGCAAAGCCATACAAATGGAAGGTATTACTTCAGATATCTACAGGAGTAGAAACAGCCTGCTCTTGGTTGAAAGCCCTCAGGATGAAAAATAATTGAAAAAAGTGGAAATGGTGCATATGAAAATGGCATGGCTCTAAAATTGGAGGCACAGTTAGCAATAAAATGATGGGCCAGGCCTCGACAAATGTGTCTGGGGACACATAACATCCCGAGCAGAATTTGCTGGAGGAGGAGAGGAGACGGAGGTAAGCGCTCAGTGGGGACGACATTATTTTGATGGAACGCTTCTGGGTGCCAACCTGCCGCGGGCAGGGCCAGCCTGGTGGAAGCACAGAATGCCTCGCTGCAGCCAAGGCTGTCCTTTCACAGCGGACCGCAGTAGGGACCCAGGAGTTTCAGGTTAACGCTTCCAGTCTCAAGCCTTCTCATTATCCGGTATTATGGAGAAGATGAAGTGAACCATCTTTGGTAAAAACATCATGAAATACTATGTAACTGTAGGCTTTCAAATATTTTTTCATTTTCTGTTAGAGGTCATGATGCTTGCAGCGTGGGTATTTGTGTTTTCTATGTTCAGCAAGTGCGGAGGGCATGTCCCGGTGTCCCCTGGACTGGAAAATATGCTGATGGAGTCCAGCCCGTGTCAGAGTGCCATGCAGACCCTGGCTTTCTTCCCCTCCGGACCCCCCCCCCCAACACCCATCTCTAGCCTCCTGTGCCAGCCTTCCTGATGGGACCCTCTGCCCCTGCCATGCCCACTTCCTGCCAGCCCCACCCCTTCCGGTCTCGGCACCTGCCGTTTGGCTTGCTTGTCCCCCGTGCCTGCTCAGCCCACTCTCACAACTCCTCAGAGGCCCCTGGAGATGCTGGCCCCTCTAGGAATCACTCCCTGCGTGTGAGGATGGGTTCTCCGCTCGTATCAGGCTCAGCCACTGCCCCACTTCAGACTGGAGAGGGGGGCCTGCAGGAAGGGTCCCAGAACAACATATTTAGTGATCAGACCATAACTGGCCTGAGACTAGGGGAAGGGTGGAGGTCACTTGCTTTGCTGGGTATTAACCCTTTAGTTTCTGGATCCGAGGGATGGGGCGGAGCATCCAGGGTTGCAGGAGGGCACAGGGTGGGTGCAGGGACAGCTTCAGGAAGTGGCTTTGCTCCATCGGGCACAGCAGAGTTTCTATGTGTTAATAGCTGCCGCAGTCCTACCTTTGCACACTGGCTGGCTATCCCCGCTTTGAAGAGCCTGGGGCATAGGCAGGCTACGGTCTCTGAGCTGGCCACACTCAGGACAGCTTCAAAGACTTCATGGCAGGACCATGTTTTGCTTCGGCTCTCTGCACCTTCTGGTCCTCTTTCTCTACCTGGGCTTCAAATCCTCAGAAGAGAGAATTGGGGAGGCTCGGCTCAGCCGGGGGCAGGGGCGGGGGCGGGGTGGGGGCACACATCTGCTCTCAGGCCAGTCAGCTGTTGCTAGAACATCCCTGGGTTGAGAAGCCTCTGGGGGCCTCCCTGGCTGTTCCTAGAAGAAGGACCACTGGACAGGGCCACCTGGCAGCGTGCAGGACCTCCCCATGCACCGTGGTACCTTGCAGTTTGCCTTCCCAGCACGATTGTCGCTGCCCTCCTCACACCACCGGCTTCTTCAGGGCACGGAGTCTCGCTCCTTCCTGCGTCACCCGTGCCCAGCCCGAGCCTGGTCTGCAATAGTTGTCGGACGGGGTTGGTCGCAGCATGAATTGAGGACCTATATGAGAATCAGAAGTCACAATTGTCTATCATGTGTTTCTGTTGTGTGTTCCTATCAGATTGAAGTCTTGACTCAGAGTCCTCTGAGGCCGTTGTAGCCTGGGAGGTACATGTAGGGAAGGTCGCTTTGCCTCTCCGGGCCTCAGTCTTCTGTTCTGGCACATGGGGATAGCGATACCTTCCTTCCCACAGCCTTGTGACGTCTAATTAAGGTGAGGGGGTGAGGCACTAAGCCAGGTCCGTGCCAGCGGCTTGGTAAGGGGGTGACGTTTCATTTACCACAGCAGCCTGGAGGTCTTCGGGGGCCCAGCCTATTTTCCTTCCTGAGTGGTCGTGGTCATGAAGCCAGGACAGGCCCCAGGGCCCCTCATTCTGTCAGAGCGATGGCAGGACCCACTGGTGGGGCCACTTCTGGAGCTCCCACGGGAGAGGCATAGATCCTGGGGATCGGCTGCCCTTGCTGCCTCTGCCCTCATTTTCCTTGACCTTGTTCTTGTGGCCTAGTTTTATTTTATCAAACATTCTGTATTTTTAGGACCTACTTTAAGATCTTTGTAGAAAGTGTGTGGGGTATGCAGGTTTAATTAATTAATACCATTTAATTAATTCTATCTTTGAAAACAATAAATGTTGACCTGTCATTTATAACAGTGGACAAGACTCCCAGCGATGTGAAACCACTTCGGGCCTCTGAGCCCCCTGGGCCTGTGGGATCGGGGTCACCAGCAGTGTCTGCTGCCCTCCCAGGTGCTAGTTCAGCTTCACAAATTACTAATTTCTACAGCCTCCTACAAGGTAGTGGGTCCTGGAGTGTGCCCGTTACTCTAGCTTAGTAAACGAGAATGTCTGGTCTTCACAGTGAGCTGAGTAAGAGGAGCCAGATGTCTGTCTGTACAAGTCGGTTGCCCTAATGTTTCTCTTCACAGTGAAACATTGCATGGCTCTCAACATCATCGTAGTGGAAGTTGCGTCTTCGTGAATTTCTTGTGCCTCATGACAAAGGTGTTCTTTTTACCCTCAAAGGACTATGTTTAGACAGTAGTAAGGCTTTTTAGCCATTGATGTGCTATGTTTAGTAAATGCTTTTAGTTTGCGTTCATAAATATGAATTTGATACTCTTTTCTAAGTCCAAAGAAAAAAAGAATGTTGATAAATCAGCTTTTATTCAATAAAGTATATTTTTAAATGCATGTTGTATGCCTGGAACTGTCACATGTACCTGGTTCGTGTACCAGAAAATGGCCTGTGAGCAGGCGCCTAAACGAAGAGAAGGGGCCGGCCCTGTGAGGATCTGGGGAGAGAGCGTTCCAGGTGGAGGCGACAGCTGGGGCAGTGAGACTGGCCGGGGCAGAGGTGTGGGGAGTGGGCAGCTCAGCCCACAGGCTTGAGCATGGAGCGGACGGCTGGGTAGGGACCAGGTCATCTGATGCTTTGGATGTCTAGCTAAGAAACATGGACTGTAAGCATGAAGGTAGGCTGGAAAGTGAAGGAATGAGATTAGGAAGATCTCCAGCCGCCACGCTGTGGAGGGCAGAGGCAAGCTGGTGGTGGCTTTCACAGTATCATGGGGATAGTGATCCAGAAAGAGATTTCACACAGAGTCAGGGCCCACGTCCTTAAACTGACCTCCGAGGCCTCCTGTGCTCTTCCTCCCCTTACCCGCCCAACCTCGCCTGCTACTCTCCCTGCCCTCAGCCACACCGTTCCTGCCTCTCCTTCCCACGTGCGGGCACACTGCCCCCGTGGGGCTTTTGCCCCACGGTGTCCTCTCTCCGGGTGGTTATGCCCTAGGTAGCTTTACTATGGCCACTTCAGTCACCTCCTTCAAATCTTTGCTCAAATGTCATCTTCTCAATAAGATTAATGAGAGCATTGCAGTTAAAATTATAATGCATTCCTCCTTTCGCCCAAGGTTCCCAGGTTCTCCTTACCCTGCTCTTCTTCTTGATAACATTTTCATAAAAATGCTAACATTTCATAGCATCTTTTACCTTCCAGCACACACACACTCACACACACATTTATAGTGTTCATTGCAGTTGTCTGTTTCCCCAGGCTAGCATATAAGCTCCTAAGGGCAGAGATTTTTGTCTTTGTTCAATGCTGCTATATCCCAAATACCTAGGACAGCGCCTGGTACATTGGAAGAGCACGATTAAATGTTTGTTGAATGAATAAATGACGGAGGCTGGAACTCAAGGAGTGGCGGCAGAGATGGAGAGTGGGGGTGGGTCTGAGAGAGTTACAAGGTTGGATCCATAGGACTTGGGGACATGTTGGTGGGGGTAAAAGAGAGAGATGGGACAGTGCCCCTCCCACAATACACAGAAGAAGGGAAATCTGGGAGAGAAGTTACAAGGAGGGCTCTCAGTGCTAAATTTGAACTGTCATCAGACATCCAAGTGGTAATTTCTAGAAGTTATGACAGGCTGAATAATTGTGAGCTTTATCTTGCTTAGAGAAAGAGGTTGATTTGAGACTTCACCATATAGATCGCAGTTCAAGCTTTGGGCTTGAACGGAATCCCAGACAGAGCCTGTGGAGTGAGGGAAGGGCCGAAAGCAGAGTCCTGGGAAACACCAACCTGAAATAGCACAGAGAGGAAGGAGGGTCCCAAGAGGAGACGGAGAACTTGCAAACAGAGAGGAAGGCAAGAGGGCGATGGTATGAGAACTATGGAAGGAGAGAGTTTCAAGAAGCAGGGAGAAGGCAAGCAATCACATCAAGTAAAGCAAAAAGGTCCAGAAAGTGAAAAACTGAGAAAAGTATATTGAGTTTGTCTTTTTAGAACTTAATTTTATTAGTAATAGAAAACAATAAATTCTTTAATTAGCATAAACTCTAAAAATCTGTGGTATGAACTCATTCAAGTTTCCAGCCATGTAAGCTTTTTTGAATTGTTTTCTGATAACAGTGTCACTGGTCTTATACCACGTCTCCAGTCTTAATGTCCTGCGCAGAAGTCAGCAATTGCTCAGATTACTGCTGGAGCACAATAAATCTTCTCGTGGGCATGTGGATTAGCCTCAGGCTTTTGTCTCAAGCTTTGTGACATATATAGGGTATGAACAAAGCATATAAAAATGTAAATAAGAACTCTGAAATCAATGGTTTGAAGGCTGAAAACGGTAGCACTGTTGATTCTTTGAATTTTCAGTGTGAAAGCAGATTTCTGATGAGGCTACAATAACATGAATTTTACCTGAAGAAAAATTCATTGTCACAGATACAATCATTTCTGTGTTAGTCAGGGTAAGAAGGAGACCCGAGAATGCATTGCCTTGAATAACAAAGAAATCTGTCTCTTTTTTGTGTGAAGATCTGAGACAGATGTTCCAGGTTGTCGGACTAGGCTCCTCCTGGTCATTCAAGGCTCTGGGTTCCTTCCAAGTGGTGTCCGCCCCCCCGCAGCCTGCGGATGTCTACGTGACTAAACCTGAGTTGCTGCCATGCCTGAATAGTGGCCACAGGGAAGGAGAGTGTGAAGGGGACACGCCCATGATCTGAAAGCCTAAACCTGGAAGTAGCATACGTCCTTCTGTTGCCGGAGGAAATGGGGCCCTTTCATGGAGTTGCGAGAAAAGCATTTCGGGAGACCCACTACCTGGGAGGTTGAGGTTTTGTGGTAAGATTCATTGTAGAAGTAAAGTCAAAGGACTGTCCCTGGGTTCCCAGTGTCCTGTCTCCATCCATCCCGTCATGGAAAAAATCCAACCTTATCTTCATCGAGCCCAGTGCAAAGGCCAAGGTCCAAAAGTTCTGCGCCATTGGCTCAGTCCAGCTCTGTCACCATCTGGATAGCTCAGTCTGTGTTGCTGGCTGCACTCCCGCTGGCTGTGCCCAGGCCCACGCCTGGAGTCCACATGGCTGCTAGACCTGCACGGCTGCCTGGAGGGAGGACGCATGAATGAACAGGGTGAGCACACGTTACCCGCACGAGAGTGAGCTTCTTTGTTAAACTGGGATTCTGCAATCTCAGGCTTGGGAAGGACCAGGCATTTCTTCAAACTAACCAATGAACTTCCCAAGCTTTCGCAGGCTGGTGCTGGGTCCTTCCCCAAAACCAGTCCATTTCCTAGATTTTCCATGGTTCTGTGTCCCTTATCCAATCTGATCCTTTTCCCAGCCTCGATAGACAGGCCTTTATGGTCACCATTTTAACTCCTACTGCACATGCCTCATAGTGGAAGCAACTCTCTTTGCCATCTTGGCTTCCCCTTCATTGTTTTATCCCTCCCCCAATAATCTGCAGGGATTAAACTGGTGGTTCCCTGAGGAGTGTGTGAAGCTGTAATTTCCTAGTGAAGTAAGCAGACTTAGTGCCTGATTCAGCCCTCAAGTTTATTGGGCTTAATTATATCTGATTCCCTTTACACCCTTCCTCTATTAATATTTCGCTACCTATTTCATTGGCAAACAATGAGTCACGTGGCTCTCCCTAACCATTAGGACTTCAGAAATGGGATCTAACCAAATTCCCCAGAAGAGGAGAATAGATTTTAGCATATAACTAAAAGAAAACCAGAGCCAGACAGTAGATAAAGCAATTAAAACAGATTGTATTCAGGAACTAAGCCAATAGGGGAAAAGAGACCTCAGGATAGAACTGGGTTCAATTCCAAATACAGCAGGACAAGTGAGGATTTACAGCCAAGGAGGAAGGTGGGGGTTAGTGAATGGAAAATTCCTAGGAGGTGACATCAGGGGCAATGGGGATGTAATTCTGGCTAAATCAGCTTGATAGGATTCTTGCTAAAGGTGGTCCAGAGTGATCAGATAGCACCTGAGGATGAGGAATTTGATTGCTGTCGGGAGTGGGAGATTCTAGCTGGTTAAACCGACTTAGGCAGATTCTTGCTAAAACTGGGTGACGCAAAGACAGATACAAGCCCAAAAGTTGAGGCCTCGTTGGGAAGAGGGTTCAGAAGAGACTCACTGAACTTTGGCCAAAGAGAGGCTTTGTCGCAATTAGCAGTCTCACCCACCATGGTCCTTATTTTTAATATTTCCATCAATATCCCAACATTTTAATAAACACTTGGAACTTGCCACATGCATTACTACAGTACTGGCAGGCTTGGACTTTGCATGAAGCATCTAAGGATGGTCACTTCCCAGGTGAATTCATTCACGTGCCTTTTTGGGGTATCTGCCACATGCCAGTACCCTCTTAGCTCCCAGGAAGGAGACGTGGACTAGGCAGGCAGGAACTGGTCATTCAGATCTCGGACAGGCACAGGGACTCAGTTTACCTGGTTCTCTTCCTGTTAAAAAGAGCCAGCCATTTGTTTTCTCTTCCATGAGTGAAATTTTCCTTCTATGAATCTTCGTCTCGCCCCACTAAAAAACAAATTTTCATGAAGACAGCTAATAACAAACACATCGTTAAGTTGTCAGATTTCCCTGAGAATCTGGGACATCTCAGCAAACACTTTCAGTAGTGAGATTTTGTTTTTAAAATTGGCCGCAAGCCTTCCCAGATCTTCAAACATCACTAACCCGAAAGAGTGGCCTTGAGCAGACCGTGTGATGCCCGTTGACACAGAGCTTTTGTTTATGTGCATTCACGCTGGCAGCCTCATTATCAGTTAGAAATTTCATTTCCCATTTTGCAAATTCTTGTGTTTTAGCTTCGGGAAAAATGGCACACTCTCTGTATGCAAAGACACGTGCCCTCCAGTGGCCCAGGATGATTTATCAGACTAGACTGCAGGACAGGATTAGCATTCTCTAATTTTAAAACCTATTTTTTTTTTTAAAGATGGGGTGTTGTTGTTTTTCACTTTGCTTTTGAAAAATATTATAAACCTATTTTGGTAGCCATTTTTAAAACATTGCCAAAGTGAATTGAGCTTTCGGGCAGCAGGAGCCTGCCATTCAAACAATTTATCTTCGCTTTTTTTCCTGCTGATTTGGTTAGTTGGGAACTATTCTATCTGTCCACTTCTATTCAGCTAGAAAATATATATACATTCATAGGCCATTCCATTATTCAAAGAAAGCGTGTAAATATTCATAAGTCATCTCATTATTCAGAGAAAGTGTGTATATTTTCACAGGTCAATTTATGATTCAGAGAAAATATATATACATGGATCATTTCATTATTGAGGGAAATTGTATATTAGTAACTAGAAAGATAAATTTAATCTTGTTTTGCTACATGTACTCCATGGCAGAAATATTTTTTTAAAAAGTCAGATCTCATAAACATACTGGGTTGTTGTGAGGGTTTTGTTGTTTTGTTTTGTTTTGTTTTTGCTATTTGTTACCACCCCACATGAAATAAGATCAGTGAACTGTAGAAAGCTCTCGAGACCTTGATTATCTTAATCAGTTAATTTTCTTCAAAAGACACTTTTCAGAGGTTAGGTAAATTACGGATTAAGGATTACCCAGGTAAAGGTTGGGGTAAATTTTCTAGGAAGAGGCAGCATGTGGAAAATCTTGGAAGCCTGAAAGAACAAAGCGTGCTGGAGGAACAGAGGTCGCTTGGTGTGGGCTGCGGGCTGCCAGAGCGCACGGCGTCAGAACGGAGCGGCTGGCCAGCCCTGAGCCTCGGCGGGAGTGGGGCCAGAGCAGGCTGACCGGCACACGTGGCTCCTTCCACAAGGTGGCAGTGTGGAAGGACGGTGTTGAGTCGGGGTTGCCTTTTAAGGACATCTGCTGGGGGTGGAGAAGGCAGATTAGAGGGGCCACGTTAGGTTGTCGGTATTCTAAAGGGGAACCCGTGCCGTCGGACAGAAACTGTCCGAGCCGGGACCCAGCGAGTGGCTGCAGGGGTACAGGAGAGAGGGGTGAAGCCGCTGGAGGACACATCCGCAGCATTGGGGGGCAGATGGCGTGTGAAGGGGCAGCAGAGGGACAAATCGAACCCTCACAGCCTAGGCATGACTGTCCGGGGAGGGTCAGGGGCCTCCTGAAGGAGGAGGTGGGCAGGGCGCGGGTTGGGAGCCAAATAATGGAGGGCAAAGCCAGCTCGCAGAGCGACCAGTGCCTCAGCAGAGCAAGGAACTCGGGCTGGCCTTTCAGGGCGCAGATTTTTTATGCGTAGGCGTCAGTGGAATTTAAATTTAAGTGATTGAGTGAGTACCCATTGTGGGGGAGGAAGGGCACAGCACACTTGGGATTCTTCTTGCCGAAGTTGAAACCACGGCGGACTGCTTTGGAGCGCGCTGACTACTAAATCTCTGTGTTTTCTTCTTAGGAAACCGTATCACCCTAAACTGGAAGCTTTCGTTAGTCACATGTCAAAAGGAACCGGAGCCTCTTTCGAAAGCCCCTTACACTCCCTGCCTCTTTTCCCCAATCACCCGCTGTGTGAGATGGGAGAGCTCACACAGACAGGTACGTGTGACAGCCTCTCCCCCCCCATCGTATTCCCCCCTTCCCTTCTGTTTGGCCCATATTTGGAGCGAACACTCCTGGGCAAGGCGCAGTGGGCTCACGGGGTAAGGAAGGGCTGGCACCTCAAGCAGCTCTCGGTCCACCAATGTATCTAATCAAACATCTGATTTCTAAAAATTAAAAAGAAAACTTTCTTGTTATTACAAAAGCAATATATGTTTATGGAAGAGAAATTAAGACAGCAAAAGGAAGAAAAATAGCACCCATAATCCCACCCAAGAAATCAGTTATCTTTCTGTGTTCATGTATGTGCACACACACACACACACACACACACTGTGTATCTTACTAAACACACTACTGTGCCACCAACTTTTTCACTTTGTATATTGTGATCATCTTTTCCTATTTATCAACAACGCCATTTCTGTTGGCTACAAATTATTCCACTGTGGATGGGCCCTAATTCATACAACTAACCCCATGTTCTTAGCCACTTCAAGCATAGCACCTGGTAAGTGTCCATGTACCAGACCACAGAGGGGAGCACATGGCAGGTCCCCACTGAGCAAGGAGTTTGGTCAAGTGAGTCCCTCACAGAAGGCCATCTTTTTCTCTGCAGCCAGTTCACTGTCAGGGTAGGTTGGTGAGTTAATTGTGGGGTCATCTTTGTTGGGAAGAGAAAAAACTGGCAGCCCCCCAAGAGGTTCCAGTTTCCAACTTGTTCATTTGGGACCTCAAATGACCTGTGCTTGGTCACCAGTCTCTTTGGAAGAATCAGGAGACCTATCGGCCATGTTGTGTCTTCTTGTTCCACCAGTATCGTAGGACCTCAGCTTTGATGGAAGGAAGGGGTCTGTCCTATAGTTGGCCCTGTTGGGTTTCACCATGTTTTGAAAGCCATTATTACTGAGGAGAATGACAGTGAGTGACAGAGAGGGGCAAGAGGAGTAAAGAGGGCCAGCCTTGAATAAAGAGTTTTGTCAACAGCTTTTGATAATTCTACATGCACAAATTCTGCATTGGTTTAAAATAGGAGTTCTCATCCTACCAGATCCAGCACCCCTTTTATTAACAAGTTAAGGTACTCCCTTAACTATCCTGAAGTGAGATTCGAGTATAATATAATCTTTTTACATATATAATTTAAAAATATATCAGGTACCCTAACTATAATATAAAAGGGGGAAATAAGGAAGCTAATTTATTATAGAATTCTGTGTACCTCAATATTAATGCTTGAGTGTACCTACACTAGAAAATGGAATGACATAGTCAGTTGTCTGCACATCAGTATAGATTGCTGACTGGGACAGCTACCAGTACAGGCTGGAGGATGTTGTATTAATGACTTTAATACCAAGTGTTGGGACAAGTGATTTTTTTTTTAAATTTTAGTTTATTTTTCAATCTTTATTATATTTATTTCCATCACCATTTAGTCCCCTTGTACTCCCCTCCCCCCAGATATCACCACACTGTTGTCCATGTCCACGAGTCCTTTTTCCCTTTTGCTCAATCCTTCCACCCTCTAACGCCGCCGCCCGCCGCCCCCCCCACCCCCACCACCGGCTGTCATCTGTTCTCCATCTATGAGTCTGTCTGTGTTTTATTTGTTAGTTCAATTGGTTCATTAGATTCCACATGAGTGAAATCATGTGGTATTTGTCTTTCTCTGACTGGCTTATTTCACTTTAGCATACTGTTCTCCAGGTCAATCTATACTGTTGCAAAGGGTGAAATTTTCTTCTTTTTTATGGCAGAGTAGAACTCTAGTGTGTAAATATCTCATATTTGTTTTATCCACTCATCTACTGATGGACACTTGGGCTGCTTCCACATCTTGGCGATTGTAGATAATGCTGCAATGAACAAAGTAGTGCTTATGTTCTTTCGAATTAGTGTTTTGGGTTCCTTCAGATATATTCTTTTTTTAACACGTTCTGAACAAAACAAAATACAGATATCCTTCAATATCACATTTCTGGACAATTCATTGTTAATGATGTTAATGTTACGCAAAAATGACTTTGTAGATTCAAAAAAAGCAGGTTCTAAGCTATTTAAATGGATTTTTTTCACATGTGGGAATGCCTCACAGTACATTCAGAAGTCATACGGAACAGAGAACAGTTCCTGTGAAGACTGCCCAGCCCCCTGGCCCCCACCCACTGGGTGTCAGGACCATTATTTCCCTTGTTACTGAGACAGCCCAGCCTCCACACCCTCCCCGACGGCAGAACCATGGTTGCCGAGAACCATTGCTTAGACACTGGTTGCAAGTAACAGAAACCAACTCAAGCAAAAAAACAACATTTATTGTAAGGATTGAGGGTGACTCACAGACTCTAAGGGCAAGAATATGACCAGGCCTCCAGAGACTGGAACCAGGAATAAAAAGGCTACGTGTCTCTGCCTCTGTGGTTTTGCTGTGTGTCTATAACAGGGTGACAGTCCTAGGCACACCCAGAGGTGGACTGCAAGTCGGTTCTTGAGGGTCAATGTCCGTCAGCTGGCTAAGGGGTCAGGGTGACTGTGCATTGAGGGTGGGGGCCCAGCCTCTGGACCCAGGGCTGCTCCCTGAGGTGAGTGGGGTCTGTATGTGTGTGGTGGGTGGGGGGAGGTGGCTCTCACACACTGAGAGACATTCATTCTGACGTTCTAAATTGATTTATCATCACCATATTCTAAATTAGTATTACTCTAGAAATTATTTTTGCAGTACTGTTTGCTTCCGTTCCCTTATTCTCTTTTAATGGCCAATTTTATCTTCTATTTGAAATTTCATTTTAAAAGCATAGCTGTTACAACACTCATTTATAACTGGCACCTTTTGGCACGCCACAGTAACTACATAAGAACAGACTGATCACTAGTGCCTACTCTGTTCAAGACGCGTTGGCAGCTGTTGAGTGTAGGGGAGGGTTGGGCAGGAAGATGAGTAAGATGCTCTGCTGCCTGTCCTAATGGGTCCCTCAGCTGCAGTGGGACAGCATGCACGGAGATCACTAACTATACTGCTGCACGCTACAGGGTCTTCAAGAATAAACACAGGCTTTGGAGTAGACAGACCTATAAAATGGGACTAATGTCTTCCTGACAAGGCTGGTGGTGAGTTAAATTTGATAGCACATGGAAAGTGCCTAGCACAGGGCTAGCAAATGCTAGGCTCGGTGAATGCAGCTAATGTCCCAGAGGTCCAGCGGCATATGGGAACAGGAAGGAAGTGTTCATTTGACCTGGGGGAGGAAGAAGGAAGGCTCCACAGAGAAGGCAGTCTGGGAGCCAGGTGCTGGAGGAGGATTTCTCTGGGCAGAGGAAGGTGAAGGGCAGGAACAAAGGCAGGAATGTACAGGCTGTGTGTAAAGACTGTAAGAAGCTTTGAATGGCTAGAAGTTAGTATTTCTACATGGGAACACAGGAAGAAGATGCTGTGAGAAAGGACTGAGAACACAAGGTGGGGGCCAGAACGGGTCTTCAGTTCCACTACTTCTCAGCCAAGAGTGGCTCAGGGCCTTAGTTTCCTCATCTGGAAAATGTGGAGAATATGCCTTCTTTATGGGGTTTTTGTGGGGGGTTAAAGGAGAAAGACCTGGCATCCAGTAAGCACTCCAACTTTAATATATATAGATTAAGAATATAAGATCGGCCCAGAGGTAAACTAGGGCCAGATACAGATTCTCAATGTTCTTCACTCACAGTTTGCCTCATGTTGCAAATCATTTTGGAAATGCTAAGGCTTGTCCCAGCCCAGATCTCTGAGGGAATTCTGCTCTCAAACAATAGTCTTCATTCAGAGTAGGACATCCTTTGTGGTTTTTTCTGAGCTGTCCCCCTTCCTAGGCCAACAGTGCCCTCTCTCTCATGCATTTAGGCCCTAAGTTGTCTCATTTTTGCAGCAGAACCGTTCAAATGTTTGGGCATCTGAATAAATGATATTACTGGTCATAGGTCTTCATATGGTTTCCATTCTCAGAGAATTCACATCTGTTACTGAAATGGCATCCCATTGGCTGGAAGGTGAGCTTGCTTTTACCTTGGATTGCCTTCTCTTATTTGAAGGCTTTCTTATTTCTTCAAGACAATTTATTACTGTAATGTGGTTCAGTACTAAGACAACTAAAAGGTAAACTTGAAATTCTTGCTCCTAGCCACGTTCCATCTACCCCACTTCTGTGCCCCCATCATTCCCATAGAACCATTGAGATTACTTTCCTGTTCATCCTTCCAGAGTTTCTTCATGCTAAACACAGGCAATTGCAAATATACATTCTTATCCCCCCCCCCCGACAATTTTTATTTAAAAGGAGCATAAAATCATACTGTTCTGCACTTTGGGGGTTTTTTTCCATGTATTCTATCCGGATATCTGGGAGATCATTCCATATTCACGCAGGGAGAGTGTCTTTATGGATGAGCTGGTCCAGCCGCGGCAGGGTGTGCCTGGAACCCTAGCAGGGAGCCTTAGGTTGGGAAGGTTGGGAGGACGGGATAGGGTGGGGGTGGAGGGAACTTCCCAGCACTGAGAGGATGAAGCGGCCAGCAAGCAGCTTTGTCTCTTTACCTGAGCTCTCCCTGCACATTCAGGAGTGTCATGTCCCTGGGCAGAGGGACCAAGCCCTCCTTAGGCCCGTGACAGTTACAGCCTGGGCACCCACCCGCGGAGTTATTCCTGCCCTCTGAGGCCGGCCAGTCGCAGGGCCTCCCCCAGGGCAGGGGCTGGCCAAGAGGGAGGGATTGAGGCCGATGATCATTGTGCTCTCCAGAAAGGCCGTGGTCCCGAGGACGGGGCCCACTCTACTCACCCATTTATGAGTAACCTCAAGGTGCTCCTGGGTTACGTTGACTTGAACCCATTCCTGTACGTTTTGCACAGTGGGCAACAGGCCCCGCTGCTCTCTCGCACTGATCTAAGGCAATCCAGAGTTGGGCACTGACTCACCCCGCTGCCCTCCGCTATGCTTTGGGCTGAGCTGGCGGTCAGGAAAGTTTGTCGCTCTGTTTCAGGAGTCGTGCAGCATTTGCAGAATGGCCAGCTGCTGAGGGACATCTATCTAAAGAAACACAAACTCCTGCCCAGCGACTGGTTCACAGACCAGCTTTACTTAGAAACCACTGGGAAAAGCCGGACGCTGCAAAGTGGGCTGGCCCTGCTTTATGGCTTTCTCCCAGATTTTGACTGGAAGAAGATTTATTTCAGGCACCAGCCCAGTGCTCTCTTCTGCTCTGGAAACTGCTATTGCCCAGTGAAAAACCAGTATCTGGAAAAGGAGCAGCGTCGGCAGTACCTCCTACGCTTGAAGAACAGCCAGCTGGAGAGGACCTATGGGGACATGGCCAAGATCGTGGATGTCCCCACCAAGCAACTCCGAGCTGCCAACCCCATAGACTCTATGCTCTGCCACTTCTGCCACAACGTCAGCTTCCCTTGCACCAGAAACGGCTGTATTGACATGGAGCACTTCAAGGTGATCAAGACGCATCAGATAGAGGACGAGAGAGACAGGCGGGAGAAGAAACTGTACCTGGGGTATTCGCTCCTGGGTGCCCACCCCATCCTGAACCAGACCATCGGCCGCATGCAGCGTGCCGCCGAGGGCCGGAAAGAAGAGATCTTTGCCCTGTATTCTGCTCATGACGTCACTCTGTCACCAGTTCTCAGTGCCTTGGGCCTGACGGAAGCCAGGTTCCCGAGGTTTGCAGCCAGGCTGATCTTTGAGCTCTGGCAAGACAGAGAAAAGCCCCGGGAGCATTCTGTCCGGATCCTTTACAATGGTGTCGATGTCACATTCCACACCTCTTTTTGCCAGGACCACCACAAGCGTTCTCCGAAGCCCATGTGCCCCCTCGAAAATTTGGTCCGCTTTGTTAGAAGGGACATGTTTGTGCCTCTGGGTAGCGGTAGTACTAATTATTATGATGCGTGTCACCGGGAAGGATCCTAAAAGGTACACAGTCCACAAAAAAAGAATCTATGCCAATACAGAGGGGTGGGAAAGAGATGCTTCTAGTTCTATCCTTTGCTAAGGGTACAAGATGATCAATTTTCTAAGGCTAGACATTGTGCTTGAGAGCCACATAGATGGTTTGGGTTAAACAGTGAGTACATTGTTGAATTCAGGTACGTGAGTTACTTGATACACGATAGCCAATCCACAGAGAAAGGAAGGTACTTTATCATAGCCGAACTTTGCTTACAATGCCAGAATATTTTAATACTCCAAGTCGCCAACCCAAATAGTTATTCTTTTGATCTGCCATGGTACTTACTGTACAATGGAACCAGCAAACCTCAGCCCAAATGTTCTTAATCTGGGACCATCTTACCTTGTCCTTGTTCAATGAAAAATTTCCCGACATGAGTTATGTAAAATAGGATTTGGCAAACTTTTTCTGGAAAGAGCCAGGGAGTAAATATTTTTTATATTTACTATGCGCACCAAAAGGCCACTTACAATCTCTGTCACAGCTACCTGGTTCTGCTTTTATCATGTGAAAGCAACCACAGACAATACATAAAAAGGGCACAGGCCCCCTAAAACAGGCCGTGGGTCAGGCTGGCCCCTGGGCTGTCGTTTGCTGACCCCTGATTTAAAATACAGGCTCTACTACAATTGCACTCTGAGCACTTTGAGAACCAGTTGAATACCAAGAATTATTCAGTGGTGCCTCCAGTAACTTCTGCTAGAAACACAGAATTTGGTCTGTATCTAACATAACAAAACAAAGGGAAAACATTGAATCACAAGGAATCACAGAAAAATTATTAGAATAATACTTGATGTTCATGATGATTGTGGTATAAGATAGTTTTAAGGATGTTTAAATATTTGTCTGCTGTAGTCTATTTGCTGTATATGCTGAAATTTTTGTATTCCATTTAGTATTTTTATAGTCTAGGAAAATATTTTCTGAGACCAGTTTTAGATGTGCCCTTATTCCTATGTACTATCCAATGTATTGTACCTGGTCGATATTTAGAAGGGAGCCAGAAGCTGAATTCAGGCACTTTGTTCCAATAAAATGAATTACGGTTCATTCCCTTTGACAAGCTATAAAATTAGATCAACTTTTAAACTATTTCTGTGAGTTTCAAAAGGTAAATTCTACTTGATTTTTAAATAAGTTTTTGGAAGAACTTTGTTACTAGATAGTTAAATAATCTTTATAAGGTATTTTATATATTAGAAGCAATTGTCATTAAATCTGTGGTTTCTGAACTAATGGTGCTAGTTCTGTGCAAAGAGATGTAACGTGCAAGTGAGATTCTCCAGTGTCGTTGGTATTCTGCCAATCTTTTCACTTTTATCCACTGTTGCATTTAAATACATCTGTTTCTATTAATAAATTTTTGATGAATATTTGTATGTACCACTAATGGTTTGGACCCATAAGTCACTCTAGTTCTTTTCAGGTGAGTGCCAATATTTGAAAATTTTATCCTTTTTTTTTTTTGTATAAATAAAAATGTTTTCAATTAGAAAACTGTACAGTACATGTGGGGAAGGCAGGGCCAGGCCTGGTGGACCCCCTGTGACCAGCGCAGGCTACACCGAGCCCAGCGGGGACCACAGAAAGGAACCGAAGTCCTGCTTCCTTCCCTGACAGCAGCATCAGCACTTGCTGGTCCAGGACGACATGTCACAGCTGGTGGCCTTGGACCGGGTTAAATTTGATCTTAACTGTTTCTGTTATTATTGACAATCTTGCTCTGTCTCACAACTATTTAAAGCCGAAACAGTTGTTTTTTCCTCTTATTTACAATATCTGAGTTAGAGCTGCTAAACACAGCTTGAAGAAAATAAAAGTGAATCAGAAGATGTTTTGAAAATTAATTTGCAACATCTGTTGGTAAAGGTAAATATTTTGAGTAAGAGCCCATGTTAAAAGTGTAGATACAAGTTTTGCCTCTGGGCTGAGAAAAACAATTTTGAGGAAAACAGCTTTGTATTTCTGAATTGCTGCTGAGGCATTTTACAATATGACAACCCTACTCACTCCCGGAATCTGGACATTTAGGTAAGAGCTTGAGTTTAGAATGCCCTTCATAAGTTCCTGCTTTACTTTTCCAGGGCACCTTTAAAATAAACACAGCAGCGGTGTCCAATCTGCAGCCCACAGGCTGCATGCGGCCAACACAAAATCGTAAATTTACTTAAAATATTATGAGATCTTTTTGTGATTATGTGTCACAATTTGACGTGTGGCACAAGACAACTCTTCTTCCAGTGTGGCCCAGAGACGCCAAAAGTTTAGACACCCCTTAGAGTAAAGCCTGCAAAAACGTAGTTACCTCTGCCCCAGCCACTGCATCAGGAATAGGTGCCTGCCCCGCTGCTCTCAAACTCCTGCTCGTCCACGACCTGGGATGGGGAACCACCATTCCCCCAGCTCAATTGCATCCCCCTAAATGGGATCTGTAAGTAATAAATCTTGTGGCTATTTCCTTTGTGTGGATGTGTGGAAACCGCCTTCAATCAAAATGACCCATTGGGTGGGTTTCACTTCCCCAAAGGGGGAGCTCAGATGCCCAGAGAGCTACCTGCCACCTCCAGGTGGGTAGCCAGTGCTTCCTCATTCAAGTCATAATCTGCGTGTTCTTTTTTTTCCCCGGGTTTTTAAAATTTTATTTTTTAATTACAGTTGAGGTACAATATTATACTAGTTCCAGGTGTACAACATAGTGATTAGATACTTACATACTATTCTTAATATACCAGCTCTGGCTTCTCAACACAGCCTCCCAAGACATCGGGCATGCACAGCATTAACATATTTTCCTTAATATCAAGTTCTAAGATATTTTAGTCCATAAACAAACACTTAGCACTGAGCTGAGTGTCTGGGTAATGGACGTAATGGCTTAGTTCCTGGCAAGTGTGGGTATATTATACATGGGTATATTCAGCTTTCATGTTTTTATGATTAAAATTCATACATGCACACTGGAAAGCAATCAAATAATACAGAGAATTTTAAAGTGGAGTTCTCTAATCCTGCCTCCAGAGAGCACTGTGAGAGCTTTGACAGAAATTCTTACAGAAATTCTGCATGCAAATGCAGAAATATGTGTAATCTTTAAATAGGAATCATTTTATGTATACTGTTCTATGACTGGCTTTCCTTTAGAATATTTTTATCCCTTTGTTTCCTTTAATAATATGTCTTAGATATGTATCTCATTAATTTGCTTCCCTTAATATGTCTGGGAGATATTTCCACATTGAGATAGATAGATGAAAGAAAGAAAGAAAGAAAGAGAGAGAGGAAGGAAGGAAGGAAGGAAGGAAGGAAGGAAGGAAGGAAGGAAGGAAGGAAGGAAGGAAGGAAGGAAGGAAGGAAGGAAGGAAGGAAGGAAGGAAGGAAGGAAGGAAGGAAGGAAGGAAAGAAAGAAAGAAAGAAAGAGAAAGAAAGAAAAGGAAAGAGAAAGAAAAAAGAGATAGGGAGAGCTCTTTTTATAGTCACTACATAATATTTCATGATATAGATGAAACATTTAAATCGTTAATAGTGTATGTCCCTGAAACTTAAAACCAAGGCACTGAAACAGGACTACCAGGCTTTTGATCAGAGTTGCACTGAACAAGGCAGAGGCCAGCCAATGCGTGTGCTGATTTTCTGGCTTAAGTGAGCAGTTAACCCTTTTTCCATGTAGCTACAGGTATTAATGTAAGTGGTGCATTCTTTCTCTAATTTCACTTGTAAGAATGGAAGAACTTAATCTTATATTGCTATTAAGCCTCTCTGAGGGTCTTTACACCTAGAGCAGAATTAGACTTTCGAAAGATTCGAGTGATTCCTTTTTCTAGATAGAGCTCCCTAAAGGCTGATGCAGGAGAGTCAGGAAGGCAGACTTCTGCTTCTCTGAATCTTCAGGAAGCCTCCAGAACAGACTTAGCAGCCCGGCCACGGTGGGTGTACCCCAGTGTGTTTTTACACAACCACAGGAGAAAGCAGAAAACTGACGGGGTTTACATTGCAGTTTTGACTTTGATAGTGGCGGGCACAGCGTTCTGGCCTGGGCATCAGTTCGCTCCCGTTGCTCAAGGTCACTGACCTGAGTGTGGGGGTCATACCCCTGTGAAGTGCCTGCCCCGTGGCCAGCTCAGATGAGTCATAATAGCTTCTGTTTGAGAGGAACCAGCTGAATTCGTCAGAGTGGCTGCTCAGGCCTCCCTAGTCTCTGAAGCCACCTGCCAGCTGAGAGTGGCCTTGATGAGGAGGAGAAGGTATGCCCCTGAGGGGCTGGTGTGGCAGCTCCCAGAGCTGCAGAGCCCCTCGCAGAGGGATGGCCTGAGGCCTGGCTTCCAGAACCGTCAATAGTAAAGGCACCATTTGGGGTTTGGGGGTCATGCTTCCCTCCAGGGGCCCCACAAGAATTTATCAATCTAAACAACTTTCTGAGGGAGATCCTCTTACCCCTAATACAAATGAGGGAACAGGCTCAGGGGAATGAAGCCACTTTTAAAAGTCAAAGGCCAGAGTGTAACTCGAGTTTGTGTGACACCAGCAAAGGCTTTACCTACACGAATTTAATCCTCCCAATAACCCTGCAAGATACTATATTCGATGGTGAACATCAATGCATACTAAAACATAGGGGAGTTACAACAGTTATACATTTAAAGGTAAAGGGTTATTACTTTTGCTTCTTACTGTTTGTGGTTGATGTTTTTGTTAAGAAAAAAACATACGTAATGTAAACCTAATCTTGGCAGTGATGTTATATTATACTCAGCCACTAAGGGGCAGCATCGAGTATAATTTTTCACTTTCAGGACCCAGTCTTCCACGTGTAAAGGGGGTAGGGCAGCTTTGTGATGTTTTAGTAGGGTGGCCAGTCGTCCCAGTTTGCCTGGAACTAAGAATGAGGGACTTCCAGTGCTAGAACTAGGAAAGTCCCATGTAACCTGGGACAAGTTGGTGACTCTAGTGTTACATGTTGAGACACACATTCAATGCTACTGTTACACTTTATAGAAAAAAGGAAGCGTGATGGAGTGACTCATCTGAGGTTTCACATAGTCAGCTAACATGCATCAGAGCCAGGACTCAAAGCTGTTGTCCATTAACTTGAAGGACCACATTCTTAAGCAAGATATGAAAATGCCTCTCTGAACCATCTGGGGCTATCTGGTGACATGCAACACAAACCCGATCACAGTGGTTAAGCAAATAAAGTCACTTTCTCCAGTGGCTCCACCATGTCATCAGGAACACAGACTGTTATTTAAATCTCACTGGCCAAAGTGGGGTCCCATGGCCCATCTCTGTCTCTACCCACAAATTTAGTGCCTTTTCTATCTTAACTAAGCACTTATCATGCACTGTAGCCACAACTTTTGAGCTTGAGGTGTGAAAATGAAACTAGCATAAATTTCGTTTTCCTTTTCACAATTTCACAGATAAATCTGGTCT